ACGACAAGACCTTACGGTCTTCTACGAGTCCCCGCGTTCTTTTATTTCTTATTTACAATTTTTTTTTTTGTTATTTTCTTGTAACTTCTATATTTAATTTTTTAATTTATATATTTATAAAACTTTACCTTGCAATCGCAGCATTTTTTATGAAAGTCTCTACTTGCTTTAAAATAATCATACCCACAAGAGCATTTTTCATAAATGAAACTGAATTTTCATATTAAATCAAGAAATAAAAATTTGGAAAGTAATAGTTAGTCCCAAAAAATCCTTTCAAAATTATTCGCTGTAGTTGATTTTTGCAAACAACTTCACCAAAAAAAGTCAATAGGTATTTATTGTAAGCTTTTGATGGATCTAAATGCTTTTTCATAATGCTCAATAATTACTCAGGAGCAAACTTTTTTAAATTCAGATTTTATAAATTAGTTACTTAACCAATTGATGGGTAATTTTTTTTCAAAATATTTTTCTTTTGTGATAATAAATATTTATTGATAATGCGTTTTCAAAAAAATAAGTCGAATATAACTGCATAACTTTATATTAAACAAATTGAAGAGAAACTTGATAGCCCCTTGTTTGGGTTAACTTCTTGCTATCTTGTATATATAGTTCTATTACCAAATTAAAACGCATAATTTTTTATAAATAGCATTTGTTATCATACAGGTTGCTTTATCTTGTTATCATACAGGTTGCTTTATCTTGCTTTATCTTGTGGCATTTTTTTTTTTTTTTTTTTTTAATTTTTATTTTTCGTCATTTGACACATTTTACAATGTTAACCTTACATTCAAATAAATTTATACAAATGCAAGCTGACTGGGGCAAGTAGAAGACAAAATGTCTTATCATCAAGCCCCTTCGTGAAAATAAAAAAAAATAAAAAAAAAAATTTACAATTTCCAATAATATATAAAAGAGTGAAATTAAAAAAAGTTTAAAAAAAAACAAATTAAAAAGTTTGAAAAAATCAAAAAGTTGAAAAAAAAATTTTTAAGTTTGACAAAACTAAAAAGATTGAAAATAATAAAAAAGGAAAAATTTTGAAAAAATAATTTACAAATCCGTACATATGCGTATACATATCCAATAAACTTCATAATATATATTTAAATATACAAAAGATATTTTGAATTAAAAAAGATTCTGAACATTTTATAGATTTAAGTTCATCTACTCATATTTTTTTTTTTAAACAAAATTAAAACAGACAAACAAAAAGAAACAAGAAGAATATATATAAGAAGGATATATGTATATATATACACATACACATATACATATACACATATACACATACACACATATACATACACATACACACATATACATATACATACATACACATACACACATATACATACATACATACACACACACATACATACATGTATATATATATATATATATATATATATATATATATATATATATATATATATATATATATATATATATATATACATATACATATACACACATATACATATACATACACACATATACATATACACATGTACATATACACACTTCCATATATACACACACATACATATACATAAACACATATACATATATACACATACACACATACACATATACATACATGTATATATACATATATATATATATATATATATATATATATATATATATATATATATATATATATATATATATATATATATATATATATATATATATATATATACATATACACACATACACATACACTCACGCATATATATATATATATATATATATATATATATATATATATATATATATATATATATATATATATATATATATATATATATATATATACATACACACGCAAAATACATATATATATATATATTTTTTTTTTTTAAATTAAAAAAATGAAAGAATGTACGTATTGTTTAAATTTAGTAAGTGTTTTTTTATAGCTCTTTTAAATATATCAATAGATTTTATTTTTTTCATATTTTCGTCAAGAACCGAGTTCCACAAGCGTGGTCCCCGACATGTAATTGAGAAGTCAGACTTTTTGAGTAATGTTAGTGGGATGCAGTAATTATTAATTGAGTGTCTTGTTTTATATTTATGATTAATAAGAGAGAAATTTTTATAAAAATATTTTGGAATTAATTCGTTTTGAAGTTTAAACATAAATAACAAGTTATGGTAGATGTTTAATTTGTATACATTTAGGGCATTTATTTCCTTGAGTAACGGCTCGGCACTTTCGTATCTATCCATGCCCGAAACTAATCGACTTGCTTGCTTTTGTTTTGTGTAAATAGTTTTTAGGAAAGATGAGTGGTTGTTTGCCCAGGCAATATTACAATAGTTAACATGACTATGTATAAACGAAAAATATAAATTTTTTAAACATATTTTGTTCAAAAGAGGTTTAGTCTTATACATTATCCCTAAAGTCTTTTAGACTTTGTTCTCGACTAGCTTTATTTGGCTTTTCCAATTTAAATGTTCGTCAAAAATTATTCCAAGTATTTTCATTGAAAACACTCTTTTTATTTTAATATTGTTAATAGTTAGTTCTGGTAGTGTAAGTGGAAGATTCTCGGATTTAGATGGTTTAGCAAACAAAATATATTTTGTTTTTTCAATATTCAACGAAAGTTTATTTGCTATAAACCACTCATTGAGATATGTTAGTTCAGTGTTTACATTACAAAAAATATTTTTTAAATTTGAATCAGAATAGAAAACATTAGTATCGTCAGCAAAAATAATATAATTAAGTATTTTTGATGACAAGTAAATATCATTAATATAAATTAAAAACAGTAAAGGTCCAAGTATTGATCATTGTGGAACTCCACAACTTATTGACTCAAATGGGGAGCATGTTAAATCAAATAATACTACTTGTTTACGAATTTCTAAATAACATTGCAGCCACCTTAAGTTAGAGTGAGCTACTCCGTAATTACATAGTTTGTTGATAAGAATCTTGTGGTTGACAGTATCAAAGGCTTTGGATAGATCCAGAAATATTCCAAGAGTGTAACTATTGTTTTCAAAACCATTTAGAATTTGGTTTGCAAGATCAATTACTGCATGCTCCGTGGAATGGTTTTTGCGAAAACCAAACTGTTTATGATAAAGAATGTTATTAGTTTCAAGATAACTGTACAGTCTGTTGTGCATAATACGCTCTAGTATTTTAGAAAAACAGGAAAGTATGGAAATTGGTCTATAGTTAGATTTTATCGAATCATCGCCGCTTCTGTATATTGGAATTATTTTTGCTAGTTTTAGTTGGTCAGGAAAAATGCCGTTTCTTAGGGAAAGATTAAAAATTATAAAAAGAGGTTTCTCAATAATATCAGAGACCGCTTTTACAACATCAGGGTTAATTTCATCTAGACCCGCACTCTTATTTGTTTTCAACATACTAATTGCTAGCCGAAGTTCATCAACCAGAAGCTCCGATTCATCCATTATGGAATCTGATTTTTTCAAAAAGGATTCAAACGATTTACTCCCCTCAGGAATTGCACTGGCTAGTTTTTTCCCTATATTTATAAAAAAGTCATTAAATGTTTCTGCAATTTCTTTATTTACAAAAGCATCTCCTATATTACCATCTCTTTGCAATCTTTTTGGGAAATTATCAATTTTTACATTTCCTACGCCTGTTATTTCTTTGATTACATTCCATGTTTTTCTTGCATTTCCAAATGTTTTATTAAGCAATAAGGAATAGTAATTTTTTTTTGATTGCTTTTTTAACTTTTCGAAAGAATTTTTATATTTTTTGTATTTTATTTCATTTTTGTAGTTTTTTTTTTTTTTTAATTTTTGGTAAAGTTTTTGTTTCTTTTTTGATGACTTAATGAGTCCTTTCGTCATCCTCGGACTAAGCAAATTTTTAGAATTAATAATTTTTTTAACTTTTGGAAAGGCTTTTTCGTATTGCTTAGTAAACACGCGAATAAAAAAATCATAGCCATTATTTACATCATTGCAATCAGTCAATAGTTCCCAGTTTATTTCTTGTAGGAGGTCGCGAAAAGTGACGATTGATTCATTATTTATGTTTCTTACATAAATAGTTTTTGTTTCTATTTTTTTCTTAGGGGTTGCCGAATCTGTGATCAGAAAAACTGGAAAATGATCAGTGATATCTGTTTTAATAATACCACTTTGCATTTTAGCCCTTGTGTAATTATTAGTAATGATGTTATCGATAATGGATGCAGTTGTTTTAGTCACGCGTGTTGGCTTGTTGATTATGGGAAAAACGCTGTATTGCAAAAGTGTATTTATAAAACGCGCAACGTGGTTATCTGTTTTATTATTCAGAAAATTCAAATTAAAATCACCTAGTAAATACACGTGTTTTTTTATGAGCTTTGGTAGCAAGTAATTTATGTGGTTTTCAAACTGATTGTAATTACCATTAGGCGGTCTATATAAAGCTGTTATAAATGTATTTTTAATTGCTTTATTAATTATTTCAATAGTAAATGACTCACAATCAGCGTCATTTACTTTGAGGTTATCTACATGCTTAAAGGTCAATGAGTTTTGGACAAAAATAGATACGCCCCCACCAATGCCGTTTTCTCTCGGTTGATGTATGGATTTATATCCTGATAATTGAAAGTTAGAATTAATCGTGTCTCGATGACACCAAGTTTCTGTCAGACAGATAATACTGAACTTGTTTTTTATATTATTTAACATTAATTTTAAATTTTCAAAGTTTTTATTTATGCTTCTGATGTTTAAATGTAATAGTGAAAAATTAGATGATGCAGAATTAAAAACATCTTTAACATCGTCAACATTGTAATAAGCCGTTTCTACTAAAATTTCGTCAGAAAAGTTATTGTTTTTATCATCGTCATTAATTCGGTTAAGTGTATTTTTCCTTCCTGGTATGTCAAAAACAATATTATTGATAGCTTCCGCCATTTTAGCAATATTAACTAAGAGTAATATTTAAAATACAAAATATAAAAAATATATAAGCTTTAGGCTTTTTTAAGTGATTTTTTAAAATCTTTAACTACTAATTTATCATAAATAACGACGGAATACTTACCATTTGTCCTGTGAGTTCGCATTTCTTCAAAAAGAGTTTTTCGCATGTTTAAGGTATCCAAAGAATAATCTTCGTTTATAAATATTCCTGTTCCTTTTAATTTTTTCGAGTTTTTTAATATGTTAACTTTATCTTTGTAGTTCAGAAGTTTTATCACGATTGATCTAGGTTTACTTTGCCCAGTTTTTCCGGTTCTATGAGCCCTTTCAATAACCACGTCACTTACATTTAGTTTGTTTTCAAAAATACTTAAAACCTTTTCTTCAGATTCATTCCAACTTTCAGATTCGCTCTCCGTTATTCCTTCAAGGCGCAAATTATTTCTTCTCAGTCGATCTTCAAGTTGTCGCAGCTTACTTTTTTCTTCTACACTAAATGCTACTTTTGTGACAATTTTTTTTTCAATTTTATTGATTTTCTCCTCTTGGATATCTTGTGTAAAAGTGATACTGTGTTCAATATCTTTTTGACTGTGTTCAATTATTGAGACTCTGTCATTTGTTTTTACCATTTCAGATTTTCTTAAATTATTTTCAATTTGTAAAGTTTTGCACGTTTCTTTTATTTCTGCTATTTCTTTCAGCAGTCCATCAATTCTTTTATTTGTAATTTTTAAATTACCACTAATAAGTTTGAGAATGTCTTTTTGCTGTTTCTTAAACATCTCAGAGAATATTTCACGAACTAATTTTACAGATATTTCTGAAGCTTCTGTATTTAATTGAAATTCTTTTTTATCACTACTTTTATTTTTATCCATTTTATTAACAAGTTAAATACGAATGTTTAAAGTTAAATACCAATTATAAACAAAAATTTTAAAAATTAAGTTCAAACAATTTTATTAAAAATTTACAGCGCAAGAAAAGCACGTCCGATCACTTCCGTAGTTAATTATAATCTTGACGATGAGAGAAATAAAAACAGATTGTTGTTTTGTCACATTGGTTGTTATAAAATGTTCACGGATAAAACAAAAATTGAGAAAGCTCTTTACCTTTTTGCTCAAAAGCAAAAAGGTAAAGACCTAGGTAAGGTAATTAAGAAACAAAGGACATCCTTAATGCTTTAGTATCCTCCCCAAAGAAAATGTGATCAACGCAAGTTTTGAAATATGTATTATTTGCAAGAAAATATTTAATACATATAATTTGAAATATATGTATTATTTGCAAGAAAAAAGAAAAATTAGTATTTAGTGTAGCAGTGTCAGTTTTGTTTAATATTTTTTTGTTTTTTTTTTTAATATGAAAATTTTAATATTAGGTCAGAATATAAATGCGTTTCAAAATGCATTAGTTTATAAACATTAGATTCCTTGACAAATCAAGTAGATGGCAACATTCATTTTAGAATTATGGGTACATTTCCCTCAATAGAAGTTTGAGTTGCAGTATATAGGGCCGTACGGATGAGGCGTCGCATGGTTGGATGATATATCTAATTTTTGCCGACTTAAAAAAGTAATTTAAAGAGATTAGGGACAAAAAAATTTAAATTTCCGCGATGATCGAGATTTTTTGACTATGGATACCGATTTCGATTCGAGATTATTAATATAATCTCGTCCGTATTATTATTATCGTAATCAGAAACAATGATCAGACTCTTATTACCTCTTATTAACTCAATGTTATCACTAGAAATACAAATTAAAAATACGGTTAACAATAGTTGCACCCTTTAAAATTATTTGTAATTAAAAATAACTGTTTTATTTATTGAAGCATAACATAAAAATGTCAACAAATAAGATCCTTGGTAACAGATCAAAAATAAAAATGTCTGAAACCTAGGTTACCTGTAACATAAAGCATCCAATTATTTTTTTTAATTTAGGCAATTTATTGAAGAATATACTTACTAAATTTGAAATTAAAAAAAAATTAATTATTTGAGCGTAATTAATTTAAAAAAAAAATCAGTTTTTTTTATTAATAGAAACCGTCCTAGTTAAAACTATAAGATGGTTTCTATATACACCAAAACTTTGATCTAAATTTACCCGGTCTTTTGACTGTAAAAATCTGGGATCTTTTGGTTTCTTTAGTTTAGTTTTTTTTAGCTCTTCAAAGTACTTTTTTCAAAATTTAGTTACTAAATGGGTATAACGGATGTCTTTTTTTAGAAAGATTTTTATGCCAGACTACTATTTTTAATAATTTTCTTAATTTTTTATAAATTAAATATCTTCGGAAATTTTTTAGTTAAATGTAAAAACTAGGTTATATTATAAGGTCTTCAACTAGAAATAAACAAATTACGTTTTTTTTATGCGCGTAGTACGGCTCTAATTTAATAATGGTTGATAAGAGATTGCAAATTTAAATTATTAAAAGAACATTTCAGTCATTATAAACGCTGTGTAATTAAAAAAAAAATTAAAGAATTTAAACGGTTTACCCCCTAAACAAGTTGCTGGCGTTGAAACCCTTCGACAAAGCGTAAGTTAACAGAATCGCGACTAAAATCGCGACTAAACAATTTTCAACTAGTTCATTTTTATGCAGGTTTACTGAAAAGATATTCAAGCTGAAGTGAATATCTAAATGTTCAAGAACATGAATATAAAGTATATATAATTTATTTGTAAAGTTACGCTTATTGTAGTTATTTCCATATTTTTTAGGTCAGAAATTGAGTTAGGTTCAGTCATACGATCAGAGTCTAAACTCTAGACTCCGATAGAGCCTAGAATCTTAGATTCTAATCCGACTCGAGGTGAAGTTAATTGAATTAAATCAACTATACTGTTTAACACATAGATAATATTTTTAATAACGTCAACAAGAAGATGGGAAAAAAAAGAAAAGAAAAATACAAAAATTTAAATGTTGCTGAGATAATTCGTCGTCTTAAAGCGCCGAATAAAGTCATTCTTTTGAAGCCATATGTTTAATAAGATCACACACACGATGACTGTAGCCATACTCATTGTCATACCTTTATTAAAATATACAAAAACAATACATTTTTAGGCTAAGTAATAGTTAAAATTAAAATATTTAAAAAAAAGGGCGAGTCTATTCGCACGCACGCGTGAATAGACTATATCTTATTATAGTCTATTCTTTAACATAATTAAATTTTTATTCAATAAACAAACAAAAAACGTGTCAATAGATAAAATAAACATAAAGAAATACTTTTTTAATTAAAAGATTGCATGCCCAAATCAATACCGTCGTCATTGTATTTATACTTATCCTTAGACAGCCAATATGTATATACACTGCGGTGCGCATATCCTTCAAGTCAGTCAACGTAAGTACGGCGTCAGTACTTCACTGCGCTAGTTTAGTTTTAAAGTTGAAAACCAATAATAATAAATCTAATTTTTTTAAATTCCCTTTAAATTCGATGATTTTTACCTTTTTTTAATTAAACGTGCGAATAGACTATAATTAAAAAGTCTATTCGCACGTGAAAAACGTCCGAATAGACACTCTGAAAAAAAAAAAAACTGCGAAATTTTTTTTTGCTGTCTTGAAAAACGAAAAATTAGTTACATATAACGTCCAATTATTCCTAATAACGTCAATATAAAGAGAAATACAAAAAAAAAAAAAAAAAAAAAAAAAAAAGCTCTAAAAATGTTTGGATATAATCAGCGAACAATCAGAATAAATTAATTATAAATTATATAAATTTAGGTATAAGCGAGGCGGCAGAAAACCATCAGCATTTTGTTATAATTAATTTTTTTTTTCAGGTCAACTTCATTGTTATTTAATTTTAATACACTCAGCGCTCGAAATAGTTTTCAATGCTTGACGATCAAATGTAATTTTTTTACAAAAACAGGTTATTTTTCCTTGAATTTTTTGAAATTTCCCTAAAAATAGCCGATCATTAATCGGCCGTTATTTCGAGCGGAGTACACTATATATTAAAACATAAAATATTAATATCGCCATATATTTTTAATAAAACAATAAATTCAATAAAACGCAATACATAAGTAAAAACCGTAATATTTGATTCAAATTGTGACTAAAGTTACACCTTAAAGGGATCCCTAAGTGCCGAGACAAGTTGTGTTCATATCATAGATAATCATTAGAAAATAAGTTAAAAGTTAATTAACTTTTCCAAAGCAAATTATTGAATAAGATATTAAAAAAAAACGCCATTTTGTTTCTGGTGAAGGAAAGTTCCGGTTATTTGATTATTTTTATTTTTAAAATCGAGTTTAATTAATGTGCTTATATTTGATGTCAATACAAAAAATTTCATTCAAAAAACTTCTAGTTTAAAGTGAAGGGGTTTCCCCTCTGGCGGTTAAACGAAAATATAAGATTATATAATATAAGTTTATCAATTTAACATATATATCAAAAAATATATATTTGATCATTTTAAAAAGGATTTCTTAAATAAGAAATATAAATTATTATAAATATAAGGTAAAAATATACATAAGATCATTTTGAAAACGGTTTCCTCAATTTATTAAAAAAATTAAGATTTTTAATAATTTGATGAAATCTTACAAAATTTAACCATGTTGGATTATATTGTACTTAGTGATGTATATTAAAAAAACTGATTACTTTATTTTATAAGAAAAATATTTATCTTGTGTATTTTAAAGTTTGCTTCGCTAGTTTATTTAACTCAAACGCGTAACAACACTTCGAACTAAAAACAAAAACACGCTACAGCACACCCAACGCAGACTTAATGTAAAGTGGAAAACCCAATCTGATTGTGTAAATTTAAAAAACAGAGAGCGAAAAATTATTTTTAAAAACCAGATAACGGAAAAAATTATGCAGATTCAAGAGCCTAAACCGGAACGGAAAGTATAATGGTAAAATAACAAATGCTTTTGTTAATATAATTCAATAATTTGTTTTGGAAGTTTTAATTAACTTTTAACTTATTTTCTAATATTTATCTATGATATGAACACAACAAGTCTCGGCACTTTGGGATCCCATTAAATAATAAACAAACTTATTACTTGTTTGGCTTAGGTCTTCTTGACATGATAATTTTCTTTTTATCAACGCATTAAACTGTTTTTAATTTTTTATTACAAATATTGTTTTAAAAAGACCACCCGAAACAATCAAAATTACAAATCTGAGTTTTAAAAAACAAGTTTTAACAAAAATAGTATTTCAAAAATAGGTTTTAGGAAAAAATCCCCCCGAAAAAATTTTTTTTTACATAAAAATTATCAATATGCAGTTATGTTTATTTCTTTATTTATTTTAAATATTTATATAAAATACTTCATTTTTTATCAAAATGTCAAGTTATGCGCTATTCGAATGTGAAACCCTAACGAACTGCGAAAATGTGAACTTTTTTGCGAACCATCATAGTTTAATTAGCAGTATATTTTAAGGACTTTAAAGCGAAAAAATTATTTAAAAAAAATAAAAGGAAATTAAGTGAAACTAGACAAAAATAATATGAAAATATATATTTTTTAATTATTTGATAGACTGCCTGCCCAATCCAAACCTTCGATGTAGCAGCACTCCGTTGCGAGTCAGGCTATAAGATAGTCGATGTAGCAACACTCCGCGCATGTTTTACAGTTAAAAAATAAAAATTTTGTTTTATATAAAGCTTTTAGGAATTGGAGAGTTTTTTTTATTATTATTTTTACCGACAACCGAGGAATAGCGCACAACTTTAAATTTTGATGAAAATGAAGTATTTTATAAAATTATTTAAAATAAATAAATATAACTATTTATAATTTTTATGTGAAAAAAATTTTTTTTCGGGTGATTTTTACCGGGGTTTTTTTCCTGCTACCCAAAAATACTAGAATTTCATAATTAGCATCTAAAATTTTATTATAGTTTATGATGAGCTTTTTTTAAATTCATATCATTGACGCAAACCGCATGTGACATAAACTATATATTTACTATTCTTTTCTGTTGTTTATTAAAGACATTCTTTACACTGTTTAGTTATTTTTATCTTTTCATTTTTTATAATATTCATTAAATCTTTTTAAAAAACCTCTTGAAATATTGCCGAACTTATTGCAATGACAACTCATTAGATTTTTTTTCTTTGAATCTTTTAAAAAAAACCTATAAAAATGCGGCACTATTTACGAAATCGGGGATAAAAATGGCAGAGTGAACGTTTTTTTAAAATAAATAATAATTATCATTAGCTTAATTTTTTTGATGAATCATCAAGAAGACAATGATAATTAATTACAAAATGGAGATGATTAAAGAAATAAACAACGTTTTTAATTTTAACACTAGTTTAATTAAATTTTAGCAAATTTATATCAAATTTTTTAGCGCGAAAAAAAAAACAAATTTTTGCAAATATTTTGCAAGCAAGCAAACAAAAAAAACATAAAAAAAACTACGACGTTAGATTATACTTTATATTTTCGTTGCACGCTAAAATTTCATATTTTCTACATCTATATTTCAAGCGACCGTTACTTTTCAAATGCAGAAGTAAAAATATGAAATTTTGATGCTGATTTTTAATTTGATGAAAGCTAAGCACAGGAGGGCTGTTTTAAACTACAGTTTAATGAAAAATTAACAATTTACTATAAACCTAGAAATTTTTCGTTAAAAAAGCTATAATTTGATTTAAAATTATGTTAACTTTAATTAAAAACAAATTTTATTTCCAAAATATGCATTTTACTACACTTCTTATATTATTTTACTTGAAGGCCCTGGTTGTTTTTTTAGCAAAGCAACAGCTAAGTGGTCTAAAATAATTTTTAATACAATACTTGACTTTTTAATATAAGCATAAGGAATATTTATTGGCTTCAGCACATAAATCAACTATCTTATAGTCTGCTGCTACAAGGGAGTGCTGCTACATTAACTACCTTATAGCCTGCTACAAGGATGTGCTGCTACATCAACTGAGGGTTTTGCATGGGGCAGCAATCTTTTTTCTTTTAATTTCAATTAAAAATGAAATGATTAAAAAGCCTCCACTGACGAGAGCAAAACAAGCACACAAAAAAAATTATTTAGACTGCTCAACTGTTTTTTCTTGTAGTTTTCACTTATAGACCCTGGATAAAGACTCATTTTGTTTTAATTGAAGACCCAGGCCTTGCGATAAAGCGTCGGGCGATGTGAATTTTACGTCATTTTGCGTGTGGCTAGGGCTATTTGCGTCGAGCAAAAAAATTTTTGTTCGAGTATATTTAAAGATATTTTTGAGCGGAATTTTAATGAATTTACGATTATTTTAACATTTAATAAAGTATTTTAAAAACCGCACGCAGTTGATACAAAAGTTTGATTTACAAAAAAATTAAATATGCTCATTATTTACAAGTAGAAAAAAATTCAGATAAAAAAAAAAAAAGTTTAAATCTTTTCAAGGTAACATTTTAATAAAATTATTCAGCAATAGCAAAGTTGTCGATAAAATTGAACAAAATTACTTTCTTTTAGTTTTAGATATTTAACTTAAATAATTATTTTACGGGGGTTTGTTAGGTTTTAAATTATTCCATAGATTTAAAAATATTTATTAACTGTTAGAGGTATTTAAAGTATTCAAGAGTAATTTCGAGGAAACATTTTTAAAATTGGTAAGCGAAAATAAAAAAAAATAAAAGGAATAATATTAAAACGTATTCTACTTAATTCAATAAAAAAAAGTACAGCTATTAAAATTTTTGTAAAAAACTCGAAAAAAATTACTTAAATAATAACAATCGCTTTTTACCGAAACTCAACGAAGCGTGCTCAAGGCCAGCTGCAGAAAAATAGAACGTCAATAGTTTTTCGAATAATTTTAAAGAATAATTTTTTCGCTAAAATATTTCTTTTATACCTATAAGATTTTTATTCTAACATTTTATTTTATTTTACTAGAAATAAAATTCCTTGTAAACATTAAAAATCTATTTAAAACGTTCGTTAAAGTTTTTTAGTAATACGAGTGATTGTGCTTATCAATCGCTTTATGAAAATAAATAAAAATAAAAAAATATTATATAAAATCGCTAGTAAAAATATTAGCACAGTTTTTAATCGTACAATATTAAAATTTCCAGTTTATTACTCGCTGACTTTTTAAAAAGAAAAAATAATTATTTGAAAAACTTTAAAATATATATTTGAGAAAAAAAAAAAATCAAATGTTAGCATATATATAATCTTTTTTAAAATGTTATGTTTTTTATTCGTTTAGTATAGACAAAGCGTGTCAAACGTCGAGAAAATAAACAAATGTTTTTACATTTTAAAAAACGAAACATTCCAAAACATTTTAAAATAATAACATTTTTACATTAATGATTTAAAGTAGTTTTGCGGTAATTAAGTAAATTGGTGCAGTTAATGTCGATAAATATGAAAAGCAAATAAAAAGAATTTAATGAGGTCAAAAATCACATCGTGCTTATGCGTCGCGCAGTTTTCATTCATCACAAGGCCTGAAGACCCTGATTGTAACTTCAAAAAAATACTTCATTAATAGAATTATAAGGAATATTCATGGTCACTATTCATGTTGGATCCAGGCACTTATCAAAACTAAAAAAACTCATTTTAAATTTTGCAGTTTGTGCCTCGTTAACCTGTTAATTATCAATTGAAAATAAAAAAAGATAGAAAAAAAAAAAAACACAAATTTTTTGTGACTAAAAAAAAGAATTTTTAAATAATTAATTTTTAAATAAAAACAGTGTTAAAACATTTTTAAAAAGATAGTGTAATTTTTAAAACTTTAACATCAAATTACAGTACTTTTATTAAATTTTCAGACCTATGTTTTTATATATTTCTGAACCTCTACAATATATTCTATCATAATCAATCAGAAAGTTAAGTAGCACAAATATAAACAAACATAAGTACATACCATGAAACTAGTTTGACAAATTGAGGATTAAGAGAGATTCCTGCTTTAGCATCAAAAATAGTTGATCGAGTGTCTCCAATGAAGTCAGTAGAAACAACCTCATCTTCAGTATAGCCTATATAACGAGAAAGTGTTGGACACTCAGATGCAGCTTTTACTTTGGCTTTAATTTGATCATAGCTAGTTGGAGTTTTAAGCCGAACTGTTAGATCAACAACAGAAACATCTGCAACAGGTACACGGAATGCCATTCCAGTTAGCTTGCCATTTAATTCTGGAATAACTTTGCCAACAGCTTTTGCAGCTCCAGTAGCTGCAGGAATAATATTTTGGCTAGCACCACGCCCATCACGCCATTCCTATTATATAAATCAAACATAATGATAAATTAAAAAACTCATTTTCATGTACATTTGTAATGGCTAACATTTTACCTTCATTGATGGACCATCAACTGTTTTTTGCGTTGCAGTTGTGGCATGAATGGTTGTCATTAGGCCTTCTTCAATACCAAAATTATCATGAATAATCTTAGCAAGAGGAGCAAGGCAATTAGTGGTGCATGAAGCATTGCTACAAATATGTAAAAAAAACCAATGCTTTAAAATTATTATTTAATCATAACGTGATGCAAATTTACCTTAAATTTAATTTAAATATCTGTCAACTAACCTCACAATATGGTGAACTTTAGGATCATAAGAATCCTCATTAACACCCATTACAAACATTTGAGCATCAGGAGATGGAGCTGAGATAACAACTTTTTTTGCACCACCATGTATGTGCTCTCCAGCTTTTTCTAATGTTGTGAAAACACCTGACGATTCAACAACATAATCAGCTCCTGCAGTACCCCATGGTATTTCTTTTGGGTTTCTAATCATGGAAACCTAAATATTACACAACAAATATTATAATTAAGAACTAATTGTAATATTATATTAATTAAAATATTAAAAATAATTTCTACAGTTAAGCTGCCTAAAATAATTTAATTTTTTGTTTTGAAAAAACTGAGGATGTAAAAATATATTAAAAAAAAATATTTATTACTTGTCATATAATAATATTTATAATAAATATTTTATGCTTATAAAGCTTCTACTAACAAGAGCTTAAAAATGAGCCACTTAACTGTGTGTGTGTATGTATGTATGTATGTATATATATATATATATATATATATATATATATATATATATATATATATATATATATATATATATATATATATATATATATATATATATATATATATATATATATATGTGCATATGTATATATATATAGGGGATATATATATATATATATATATATATATATATATATATATATATATATAAATATATAAATATATACACATAATGCTAAAAATATTGTGCTGAAAAAGTTAAAACATTAATAAAACTTACAGAAATTATTTTTCCATTTATTACCAGTTTCCCATCAGCATGTTTTACCTCACCCTTAAATTTGCCATGAGTTGAGTCATAGTGAAACATATAAACCATGTATTCAAGATCAATGAAAGGATCATTTATATGAACAATTTCAATATCAGGATGCTCAAAAGCAGCTCTACAAACAAGGCGCCCTATTCGCCCAAATCCATTTATTCCAACTTTAACCATTTTAAACTAAAATAATACATATATATATATATATATATATATATATATATATATATATATATATATATATATATATATATATATATATATACATATAATTATGTATGTGTATAAACTAAACAATATGTATAAATGTATGTATGTATGCATGCATATACATGTTTTAGTGTTTTTGTGTTAGCTTGTGTGTGCTGTGTGTGTACATATACTCAATTAATACACTATTCAATAAAAACATATTCGAATATAACGAATATTTGTATATAGAATAGTGAAATAGTTTTCGAATATAGAAAACAACTATTATTTGCTTTTTTACTGAATTTGAATATAGTGCATATTCTAAAATCTCAATACTTAATACTATAATCAATTCAATGTATAAACAGGCTGAATGAGAAAAAAAAGTTTATAAATAGTACACAATTGCATTTAAACTTAAATACCTTTAGTACTTTTCTTCAAAAGAAGACGCACTGCTCAGTCGATTAAGGCGAGTTCGTAGATAGCTCAAGTTAATACGGCCAAGTCAGACAAAACAATTAACATTTGTCTCGATTGTTAGGCAAGATGCTTATAGAAAACAAAGTACCATATAAGCATCATTGTTTTATTTACGAAGTTTTTAATCAGTTTGAGTTAATAATAGTTTTTTATTATATTAGAATGTAATATTATAAACTAAATAGTTAAAAATATATAGAAATTTATTAAGTTATATTAGTAGGCGAGGTATGCAAACGTGAGAAGTTTCGAGATCTGCTCCATATAAGGTAATTGTGTCATGTTACAATTTCTTTCAAATAAAAGGAGCGTGTTTCCTTTATAAACGTTTATCTATTTACATTTTAAAAAACATGCTTAAAAGCACGTTTTACAAACAGGGTTGATTTCGCGATTTTTAATGTAAAGATCGTGTAATCATGTTATCTAGTTTTTTTAGTGCAAAAGTTTTTTTTGCTCATAAGTTACTTAGTGGACCATTAGGGGCACCCTCTATTAATGGCAAGCCGATAACTTTCCGACATGGTAATATTGGCTAGTCATTAGCTAACCAATTTTAACGGATGCCACTAATGGTCCACTAAATAACCGATGAGCAAAACTACAGTGGTTTGCTCAAAATGCTTATATAGGTCCACTAAAACTCCGCTATAGAATGTTTGCTGGGTAGGCAGTCGGTTATAATTATAAGGAAAAATGACAGTTGAGAGAGTGTTTGGGCAAGTTTTCATATGAGTTTCACCACATTTTACTTATATCAGTTTTTAGTATTTTTCTACTTTGAGGCTCATTGTTTTCCATTGGACATCTATCTTTTTGTACTTTTATCTCACTCTGCTAAATTCTTTTTAACTTATTATTCATCCCTTAGGCGTTCACTACTCGGCATAATTATTTATTTCAATATAGTTAATATAAACGGGTATTTCTTAAAGTATAATTACGGTAAGGTAGCATAAACATAGTTTTCTTGTTTCTTCAAAACTTATTCTTTAACTTTCGAATTATTGAATATACTTTCAGATCTTGCTCGTCTTGGAAATCTCGGAATCTTGGTCTCGGAATACTGAGAAAATTAATGTGAAAAATATAAAAATCGAAATTGCTGAAAAATATAAAAAACCTTTAAAATTGGCTCTTTTTTCTGAAACAAAAAACAAGAGTCCTCAGTATAAGTTCTCAGGGTCAGAGCCAACGACACCGGAGGACACGTGACACCCTCTCCCCACCCCCATTTTATTTCTTAAGATCCTTTTTTTTTATCTATTTCAAAAGAAAATTTTAGATATAAAGGACATTTTTTAAAAATTGACGATTGTGCCCCTTCACTTCGAAACCCTGAGAGTTGGAGTAAAAAGTAAAAGTACTAACTCAAAAAGTAACAAAGTAAAAGTAATAAGTACTGTTAAACCAAAATACTTAAGGAAATAAAAGTACACAGTAAGTTGAAAGTACTCTTTAGTCATCGCGCGTGACGATTCAAATTCGTGACGCGTGAAATCAATTCCCTCTGGACAATCTAAATAAATTAATCTGGATAATCTAAATAAATTTCTATTACTTGTGTATAATGAATTTAACGATTATAGAACTTGTATATAATGAATTAAAATAATGATTAACGATTGCAAAATAAGCAACTCCCTTCGGAGGACTATACGAGAAATTCTCTATAATGATTGCTAAACTACTTCTTCGTAGATTAAAATTTAAATAGTGATTTGATTCTCTTTATAAATATTAAACTTTCTTTTTATACATATTAAACTTACCAAAGAATAAAAACATCAGCAATCGAAAAGTATTAACAAAGAAAACCTTTTTTATTAATAAAGTAAATAAAGAACTCAATCTAATAAAAAAAAATTATCTTGTGAAAATAAAATAACATTCAAATCATAAAAATGCTCAAATAAAATAATCCTTAATTGTAATTTTTAAATCAGTGTATTATAATGTAACATTGTCAATATTTTTTGTAAATTTTCATTTTAATCTCATGTTACTTTTGTTTTGTTCTTTTGGCTTTACTGGTACTTCAAGTTTTCTGATAATATCAAAAGACTTCAAGTATGAACTTCAGTGACTCATTTGGTCATTCTGTATATATTTATACTGATATTGTAAAATGCTATATGTTATATTGAAAATCTAATAAATGAAAAGAACTTTTTTATCTAATTTATATATTGAACCAAATAGTCACACTCTTCCTGTCACTTTAATGATATAAGTCAGCTCAAATTGAGGGGCAATTGTTTGCAAACCATCTTTATTTGACATAAGTATTAACATATAAATGTTTTAGTTTGCTCCGTGTCCTGAGCAAACTCCAAACAATTAAAATGTTGGATCCATTTCTGATCTATACAGATTTAGATCCAATTGTTTTACTGCCAACCGACCTACTTTTAGTTAACCGACCTACTTTTACTGCTAACCGACCTACTTTCAGTTAACTTATCGTTCTACTAAAAACTTAACTGTTATAATAAAAATAGGTTCTGTTGTACATTAGATGAAATCAAATTCGTGTTAACAATTTTCTTCTTCTGGTTTTGATCTCTACTTTTATAAATATCATATTCCTTATGGTATTGGAATCTGGTGCAGCCTTGATGGAATTCAATTTTTTTTTTTAGTAAAAATTTCAGCACGAAAAATGAATAATAACAACCTTGTGTTTGACATATACTTTGCTGATAACCGTATAGCATATATGCCATTTAAATGTTAAGCAGCTGTTACGTCGTAGTTAGAACCTTGAACTATATAGAAGGTAACACGAGTATGTTCAGGTAAACCCATTGTTTGTTATTAAATTACCAAGTTTTATTAAAAATAAAATACATAAGTAAAAATTGTTATTTTTGAACTCTTTTTAATTTATTTTTGTAAGTTAATATTTCAAAGTATAAAACTCAGAAATATTATTTAAAAATATATAGTTGATTTGCTTTATTTAAAAGGTTTTTCTTTCACAAATACTCTCCCGCAATTGGTTGCAAAATTTTTTTTTTCGATTTCGCCCTAAAACCAACGTCTTTTTTTCAAGTTTGACTTTCTCAAGCGCAATCTTGAAAGTTTCAAATTTCGTTTACGCATTTGCCCAAGCTTTTTTTAAAATCGAACTTGACAAAGTCGGACTTCAAAGCTCAAGTCGAACTTCACTCAAATTCTTTTCTTGCATTCCACCCTAAGTCTAATGGGTTTTAAAAACTTGTTGAAAAATGAAATAATTCTTTTTTTTTTGTATTTTTTTAACTACTTTATTATCTTGAACTTTAACATTTTTATAAATATCATCTCAACAGTTTGTTTTTAGGTGATACTTATTAAAAGACTTTGTCATTCTCCTATTTAACATTTATCTGCCTTGTTTTACAAGTTCTTCAAATTTTCATCAAATAAATTTAATAATTGTTCTTTAATGACTTACTTATAATAAGCTAAAATAAAATTGAAAAAATTATTTAAAGAAACATTTTTTTTATAAAACACAATATAAGTAAAAGAGATTTCTTTTTTAAAAGGTTAAATTATTAGTAACTTTTATTTATTTTTATCAAACTAAGTTATTATATGACCCACGACGGCAAAGAGCAAAATTAAAAACAACAGCAAGTGACAAAGATTTAGAAGTGATTATTTCATTAAATGGTATAATCAAGTGACTTCAGCGACAGCAAAAGCGCAAAGAACTTTGGGTCTAATTAATCGTACGTTTACATACTTCGATGTGGAAATGCTGAAATCACTATATACGACATTTGTGAGATTCTTGAGTTCGCTATACACTTCTTGAGTTCGCTATACCTGCATGGCAGCCTTATTTACAACGGGATATTGATGAGTTAGAGAAAGTGCAAAGAAGAGCAACGAAGTTAGTTCCACAACTTAAAAAAATTTCATATGAAAAAAGACTGAAAGCAATGGGTTTAATTTAATATTATGTGTGAAGTTAAAGCAACTTCCCCCATGTTAGCAATATTAATTTCTTTAGTACAATAACTGCAAATCACAACAGTTTCTGTGTTTTTACGTAACCGATGTGTATATTTTTCTTCAACAAGCCCTTTTACTTAAAAATACATTTATTTTTAGGTATTTTCTAATTATTTTATCTGAAAACAAAACAAAAAAAAGTAAACATTTTAGGAGCCAAAAAGAATTTAGAATCTCTAATATTTCATACTTTTAAAAACTATTCAAAACTATACAACAATGCAATAATTAAATACTAATTGAAAAAATATATGTAAACTGTCTATATATTTATGATTTATGGAAACCTCTATGATGATAATTTTCAAATAATATTTTTAAAACAAATAAACTATGCCTTATTGTTGATATTTCAGTTTTTTTAAGAATCTTTAAAGTACAAATTTCAAAAACAATATAAGAATCGGATTTTCTATAAAAATTATACATTAAAGCAATTATAATACTATAATTTACTACAATTAGTATTGTAGTTGTATTCTTATTGAATTGTTTTTCTTTACTTAAAAATATATATATATATATTATCCCATTTTCAAGGACTATTCCAGGATTATAAAAATAACTAAAAAAATCAAGGACCTAAAAAGACGTCTTTTGAAAAAGACTACTTTTTTACGTCTGTGCCAACTGGGTATATGTTCTAAACATTTATTTCTCTAATTTTCCTCAAAATGTTGTTGAATAATGTTGTTTTCATCACATGCAGATGTATTGTTATTATTTATATTTGTTTTAAGAACAGTATTTTCTTTAGTAGGTTTTGTAGAGATAAAATTTTTGTTTTTTTGACGTACTTGTTGAATCATTATCTAAATTATTTTTATTAATAGCATACATTTTTCATTCCATTACACAATTAATGTTATACTATATAGTGGTTAACTTTTTAAGATCATGAAAAACAAGGTCAGCATTGCAAGTTTTGTTTTCTTTGACATAATCATGATCAACCGAAAAAATTAAAAAAATTCGTCGTAGATTCAAAGGAGAAAGTCCGGCAGCAAAGTTACAGCATTCAGAAAATTCAGAAAATAGTAACTTAACTCATTTTACAGAGTTTACGCGAAAGTCAAAAATAAATTATTTTAGTTTATGTGGTTATAAAAATGTAATTCGACTATTAGAAAACTACTCGAGAAATGATTAAAAATAATATAATACACATTAAACACAACATAAAAAAAACTCAGTAGTTTTGGGTACTTTAGCTACTTACAAAACATTAAAGAAAGCCTATTTCAATC